CATGTAATCTGATATAGGCTATACATATACATTCCTACTAAATATATTTTCACATTTGTGATGTTGTAAAGACGAATTAGAACCAATGGGAGGAATCACTGGAAAGAGGAAACAAAACAAAACAGAAGAAAAAAATAGCAAATAGTACACTTTGATCTGCATTCAGACTCCATAGTTCTTTCTTTGGATGTGGATAGCATTTTCCATCATGAGGCCTTTGGAGATGTCTTAGATCCTTGTATTGCTGAGAAGGGTTAAGTCTATCAATATTAATTATTGTACAACATGGCTGTTATCGTGTACAATGTTCTCCTGGTTCTGCTCACTTCACTCAGCATTAGTCCATACAAGTCTTTCCAGGTTTTTCTGAGAGCATCCTGCTCATCATTTCTTATAGCACAATAATGTTCCGTTACATTCATATACCACAACTTGCTCAGCCATTCCCCAATTGATGGGCATCTTCCCAATTTCCAATTCTTTGCCACCACAAAAAGAGCTGCTATGAATATTTTTGTACATATGGGTCTTTTTCCCATTTGTATGATCTTTTTGCGATACAGCCCTAGAAGTGCTATTGCTGGGTCCAAGGGTATGTACATTTTTATAGCCCTTTGGGTATAGTTCCAAATTGCTCTCCAAAATGGTTGGATCATTTCACAACTCCACCAACAATGCATTAGTGTTCCAATTTTCCCATATCTTCCCCAGATAAATGCTAGTTGATTGACAGAATGACTTAAGTTCTTACTATGTGCTAAAGTGCTATGCTAAGCACCGGGAATACAGAAAAACTTACAAAAAAAACCCAACCAACACAACAAATATGGTCTATACCCAAGGAACTTGCATTCTAATGAAGAAGACAGCATGCAAATAACTATGTACATACAAGTCCATTAAATGTAAATGGTACAGTAGGGGTGGGGGCCTGGGAAAAGCCTCTTGTAGCAGGTGAGATTCGAGGGGAGCCTTGAAGGAGGCCAGTGAAACAAAGAGCTAGGGGTGAGGAGGAAGAGTGTTTTAGACATGGGGGACAAGTTAGTGAAAAAGAGTCAGGAGATGGAGTATTAGTTTTGAGAACAGCTAGCCAGCCAGTATAGTTGGATTGCAGAGTACATGGAGGGGAGTAAAGATGGGAAAGGTAGGAAGGGGCCAGGTTGTGAAGGTTCTAAACCAGGGGTGGGGAACCTGCGGGCCTTGAGGCCACATGTGGCCTTCTAGTTTCTCAAGTGTAGTCCTTTGGGCTGCAGGTTCTCCACCTGTAAGGCTCACTACCATGTAACTCATCAAATTGCTTAGGGAACCCTCCTTAATAAATAAGTGCTTCCTAGGACTTTTAGGGAGGGGTGGATAGGGAGGCTACTGGGGAAAAAAATCCAATCATCAGTGTTTTCACAACTTTCAAAAGGCTGAGAATCACTTTGCTTTTGTTGTACATATTTATGTAGGTATCTTGTGAAGTAGAATTTATGTTATTGAGATAAATAGAGGTAGGGGAGGGGCGAGAATAAGGAGATGGTATTTGTTTATATCTCTTTCCCAAATATTCCTAGACACGAAGAAGGCATCAAGGAATTTTTTTTCAGGAGAGGTTTTAGATCAGGGAGGGAGACATGGGGAGAACTTAAGTGTGCTCATATTTTAGCTTGTCAGAAACCAGGACTCAGTGGGTGGCAGGATTGGCCAGACCAGGGTGGCTTTGAGCTAGAGACCAGATAGACTCATCTGCATAGCCAAGGTAACTGGGGAAGGTTCCAGGAAAAGATAACCTGAGGAAGTCCAGACAGGCATTCAACAACATCAGGGTGGGCATTTTGGAAGGTGGCTGGAGCATGTTCGGTATTGGAGAATGAGGCTGTGGGAAATAGGCAGGAATGCAGGCAGGCAGGATTAGTGAGTTGTGACAACGGGTAAGAGAGATGCAGTCGTGGGGACTGGGGTTCACGTGCCAATCTCCAGTCCCACAGAGGAATGGAAAAATGAGGCAGAATCCATTTGAACTGGAGTGATGGACTTGGCATCAAGGCAGAGAATCAAGAGTGAGGGCATATGATAAAGACTCAGTACTTGGCATGAGCCTTGATAAGATATGTATGCAAATAAACTAATATGGTGTAGTGGAAAGAATGCTAGGTTTGGAGTCAGACAAGCTGGGTTCGAATCCTATCTGTGCCACTTTACTATCTGTGTGATCCTGGTCAAGTCTGTGCCTCAGTTTCTTCATCTGTGAAAGGACAGGGCTGCACTAGGTAGCTCGAATGTCCCTTCCAACTCTGTGGCTATGATCTTATGGGAATACCAACAAGATGAGATGAGAGATCTCAGGAGGGAGGGAATATCTTTAGGCAGTTAATTAATTAATTAATTTAAAAATAAATCTTATCATTGCCTTTTAAAAATATCATAGTCATTTCCAAATAAAGCTCTGTCACCTAGCTTTGAGCCCCCCCTTGTACCTAAGAAAAATAGTTAACAAAAACAATAATACGACCCCATCTTACAGTGTCTGTAATTCTCTGATCCCATCATCTCCATCTCTCTGTTGAGAGGAGGAAAATATGTTTCATTATCTATTCTCCAGGATCATTAATGGTTTTTCCAGCTACCCAGTGTTTTGACTTTTTATTTACTTATTTTCTGAATTCCTCATATTTATCATTTCTTCCAGCACAATAAAAGCCAACTGCATCCATTCTGCCATCTCCCAGTTGATGACCACCCATTTCCTTTCTTGTTATTTGTTACCCAAAAAGTTGGTGTCTCGTTTTAATATGTGATAAGAGAAATGATTATTTCTATTTTGTATTTAATAACATTATTGAATTAGGACCAAGGTTTTTCTTTTCTACTTCCTATCCATAAATCAACCAGTATGGGAAATCTTGACACATACTATGGATTCTTGCTCATGTGTTTATTCAGACAGGTCTGGGAAAATGTGGATTCTCCCTTGTGTCAGAGAGGTGATATGGAAATTGATAAATCTCTCTAACCAAGACTTGTGTGATCCAAGTCACACACCCCCAAGATGCTTATTAGAATGAGCCCATATCTCATTATAATATTCATTCTCTCATTAATTAACCAATCCAAGTTTATTGCATTTTCAGGAAACCAACTTTTCTAAGGGCATATAAGTTGTGAGACTACCACTGTGAGTCTTTGGCATTCTAGATTGCCACTGACCTCTTTTACTAATAAAATGATTAATTACCCAGAAATTATGTCTCTTGAACTTTTTAAACATCACAGTGAGGAATATTGAGGCCCAGAAAACTTAATCGACTTTCCCAAGTTAATACAGATAATAAGTAACACAGGGACAGATGTCAAACCCAAATGCTCTGACTCCAATTCTAGCACCCCTTTGCACTGCCTGATGCCCAGAAAAGTTTCTTGTGGGGAAAGGGGGGAGGGAGTGGAGCCTGAATTGTTCCTGGAAAGAGATGAAGAACTTCAATGAGAGGACTTGGGGAGAAAGGGAAGCATCACAGCCACATGGAATGATGTGAGCAAAGGGACTGAGCCAGGAAAGCATGGCAGAATGATTAGGCCGGTTTGCTGAAGGGTAGAGCATTTAAAAGGGAGAATGTCATTAGAGCAGAGACTTCATCTTTCCAAAAATCTAAACTTTATAGTGACTAAAATAGAGCCCTGTCTGATTCTAGGTGCTCAATAAACTCTTGGAGGTGATAGCAACGGCATGTTGATAGAGTGGAAACTCCTTGGGGACAAGTGCTGTTTCATTGTTTTTCTTTGTATCCCTGGAGGCTGGTGTAGGGCCTGTGCTTAATCCATGATTGTGGGTTTACTGATAGCAAAGAAAACTGATTAAATCAGCATCTGTACCTTTCCTGTTAGATCTTAGAGAAACAGCACAGACAGGTAGACCCTGGGCTAGACTTGGAGTCAGAAGACATAGGATTTAGCCCTGGCTTTGCCTCTGACTTGCTATATGGTCTTCAGCAAGTCACTTTACCTCTTTGGGCCTCAGTTTTCTCTTCTGTAAAATGGGTGTGTAGTGGTAGACTAGATAAAAAGTGCTCTCTAAGCGGAGCTTTCACACCCTAGGTTGGTTTTCTTTTGGGATGCCAAGAGAAGCTATAACATGAACTCTTGGAAACTTGTATCCAGAGGTAAGCTTCCTTAGTTTGGATGTCAGCACCAGGGCATGTAGCCAGTGATGAGTTTAGAAGGAATTTTGAGGAAGGAGGCAGAATGAACCCTTTACAAAATCAGAACAACCACCCAGGTGGCAAGTCGCTCCCTCCTGATCATTTCCTTGCTGGCCTCTGAGAATCATTGAGAAGGCTGTTATGGCCCAATTCTGGCTTGCTCTGCATCTCCCTTTGGATTTTCTGGATCCTGGAAGGTCTCTTGGCATTTAGGAGATAAAGAAATCTACCTTTCAACCTTCAACTTGGGCTACAGAAGTATTCCTGACACCACTGTCCTAGCATTAGTTGAAAAGCAGGGCTCTTTGTATAATTGGGTGCTTTGAAATGGAAAGTGAAGTCTTCTGAATTACACTTCAAATTTCCCGAGCTGTTTGACTGCAATTAATCTCGAACTTTTCCCCCTGCTTATTAAGTACGACACCCGTTTCTTCTCAGTGCTTTTTTGAAAGGGTCGTAGACTTAACAATGGAAGGAAATGCTGAGCTGGCTTCCACACACACTTCTTGGAGTTTGCTAAAAGGGGAATAATTCATAGAGGACCAGCAGTTTTTACATGATGATCAGAGAGGAAGAAAGGAGGCTTGGGCCTCCAGCAGGGCTTATCAGGGGGTGGGGGGGAGGCACCTGCAGCTGAGGCCACAGAATGTTGTCTCCACCTGTGGAGGCTGCCTGAGGAGAGGCAGCATTTTTCACAGCCCATAGACAGGAGAGAGATAGTAGACCGGCTAGCTGGGCTGTTCTCTTCTTGGTTAAGTAAGCAGCATTGGACTTTGAGCCAAAGTTAATGATTTAGTAATAGCCTTTTGTTTGAGAAACACAGGAGGCCTTCTCAGTGTCTCTCCTACGGTTTCCACAAAGCCAGGAACTTGGCAAAAGAGGAGGTAAGTTTGCTCTGTATCCCTATGCTTGAGTCAGGTGGGTGACTTGCTGGGATTGGACCTAACTCTTCCCTGCCAGAGCTGGACTTTACTGCTGCATATCAGGTCTAAATAGAGCCGTCATTCTATATTGTGTGTGTGGCAAGAAACCAATATTGCTACAAAGGGACAGAAAAACAAATTGTGAAATTCAGTTCAATGTAACTGATATTTATTCTGGAAGGAAAGGCAAGACTTAATGAGGGAAAGAAATGGACTTGTAGGAAGTCTCCAAGAGTAATTCCCTGGGTTTCACAGTACGCATCAAATGGAATCATTCAAGCCACCAAATGAGTAGTTTGATTATGGTTTGGGCAAATTGTTATCAAGATGCTTTGCCAAGCAATGCTGGAATGTTGATACCATTCAGCTGTTCTGATCTGTTTGCCGCTCATGGTTGGCATTTGGGATTTTGTAAATAAAATCAGAAGATATTTTCCTGGATCTTGTTTTATTTTGTATGAGGCATCTAAAAAGAGGCACTATGCTAAGCACTTTGCAAATATTATCTTATTTGATCCTCACAGCCCTAGGATGCAGGTGCTCTAATGAACCCTATTTTACAATTGAGGAAACTGAGACAGGAGCAGGGAAATGTGTTTTGTCATCTCAATTAATTTGAGTTGGTTACTTTTTAGTGTTTTCATTTATATTAATTGCAACAATTGTGTGTGCCATTTTTTTTCTGGTTCTGGCTGACTTCATTGTGCATCAATTCACACATCTCTTCCCATGTTTCTTTGAATTATGCAGCTTCCTTCTTATGGTGCAATAGTATGCCTTTATATCCCAGCTGTGTGACCCTAGGCAAGTCACTTAGCCCTGTTTGCCTCAGTTTACTGTAAAATGAGCTGGAGCAGAAAATGGCAAACGACCCCAGTATCTTTGTCAAGAAAACCCTAAATAGGGTCATGAAGAGTTAGAAAAGACTGAAAAAAAAATGACTGAACAACATGTTCACATATAGACAGTTCTGGCTTTATATAGATTAGCATTATGCAAATTCAGCTTTACTTAAAAAATTCTGACAGCAATCCTCATTCCAAAAAAAACAAACACCTAAGTTAACTTTATTGTATAGTACTGTGCTCTGTTTCTGCTCCTGTCCCCTGACTAGGCGACCCAGGTCCTACCACCTGCCCCCCACAAAACCCCACAAAAAAACCTCCCAAAACCCTAAAAAAACCCCTTCAAGTAAAAGCAGAACACACATACAGAGAGACTGTCATCAAAGCTGGGCTTGGCTTGAGCCCTCTGGCCTGAGACAGGAGACCTTTGCTCTGACCACCCACCTATGTGTCTGGTGCACTGTCTGTCTTCCCTCCCTCTGAGTTAGACCCCACTCCACTGTATATCACCTGTCCACTCCTGTCTGTGTCTGTGTCCAGCCCCCACATATCTGCCCCCTTCTCTCCCCTCCCGCTTCCCTATTATTCCCGGCCAGGCCCTTACATGACTTACCTGACCCCCTCTCCCTTTTGCTCTGGTTTCTCTGTCCCAGGCACAATGTATATTTGAACTGAGTGTCAGTCCCTCTTGCTCTCTGCTCCTGCCCTCCTTTCCTAATGTCTACCAGCACATTTGCATTAAGTAAAAATCACTTTCTATAGAGTCTGTGGAATGATCCATTTCTGTAAAGTAAGAACTGTCTTTACTGTAGTAAGGATCTTATACACACACACACACACACACACACACACACACACACACACACATTAATGAGGCTGATTCCACAAAGCCACATAGGAAAATCAGCATTATTTATAGGCATACTTTCATACAGGAAAACTATTGGGTTTTTTTTCAGCCGAAGGTAAGGTTTCTTAGAACCTGGATTGGGGGTGGGTGAGATTTAAAGAATTCCCCATATTGGCCAGACTCTTAAGGAATTTAAGCATTTGTATTGCTAATGCAAGTGGTTCAGATCTTAAGAATCTGAGCCGAAAACTATTATTGTTATAAATTTCTTTTGCTTGGGAACCACCTGACTTAGAATTACTGCCTCAGGCTATTACTCAAATGTCTATCCTGTGCGGCTCCCAGGGACTTACTAAGTTCAGGCAAGGTAACCAGTAAACAAGTTTTATAAATGCCTTTTAAAAAATTCTGGATCTTACTCCTTTTGGGATCAGAATAAAAGGGATAAGGCAGGGTTGAATTTTTATCTAGAATGGAAAAACTGCATAGATGGAAGGTATGTCCAGAAAGGTGTAAAGCTTAAGCTTGTGATAGACTTCTCTCTCCATGGCCTTTTTCTGTCCAATCAAAGCCCTCGGTATCCCTGTTGGCCTGAGTTAAAAGGATATACTAGAGCTCCAGGGATAAGCACCATAAGTCTCACTGATGTCTTCTACTCTAACCTTTTACCCCTGGTCTGGTAATTAAGATATTGCTTTCCCTTTGTGATCAGGATTAGGTGGTTTAGTGGAAAAGACATTTGTAGGGGGATAGATCTGTTTTTATGGATTGGTTCTGATCGCTTACAAGCTTGAACAAGTCACAGTCTCTATGGGCTTCAGTTTTCTTATTTATAAAATGAGAATATTAATTACAGACTTTTATGGTTGGAAGGGACCTGAGAGGCCATGTAGTCTAACTCAACATGCATAAAAATCATCCTTACAACATACCCAATGAGGCTTCGTCCAGCATCTATGTGAAGACCGAAGACCTGAGGGGGAGCCTAGTATATCTCTCTCTGTAGTCCATTCCTTTTTTTTTTTTGGTGACAATTCTGTTGGGAATTTCCCCCCTTATGTAGTACATGCTCTGGGGCTGCTTTCCCAACCCCCACTTGAACTGGCAGGCTGGGTCCCTAAAACAAGAATAGTTACTTTTCCCCTTAGGATTCTAGGGGACTCTACAGGGTTGCAGAATGTTCTCCTGATGTAGTAACTCTTGAGCCTCCATTAATGTGCCTCCTCCAATGACTGTCAGTTGGCATTAATTAGTCATACAGACTTTACTAACATTTATGTATCTCACCATTCCTCCCCGTATTTATTTTAAACATTCATTTAAAAAAATTGAGTTCTAAATTCTCTCCTTCCCTCCCCTCCCTTACCCATTGAGAAGGCAAGCAATATGATATCAATTATACAGGTGCAGTAATGTCATATTGGCTATTTTGCAAGAAAAAAATCAACAACAAAACCCAAAAAATACAAAATGACAAAAGCACGCTTCAAACTGCACTCAGAATTCATCAGTTCTCCTTCTGGAGCTGGATGGCATTTTTCGTCATGGGTCCTTTGGAATTGTCTTGGATCATTGTCCTGATCAGAGTAGCTTAGTCTTTTACAGTTGATCATCATTACAATATTGCTATTACTCCTGGTTCTATTCACTTCACTTTACATCAATTCATATAAATCTTCCCAGGCTTTTCTGAAAGCATCTTGCTCATCATTTATCATAGAACAATAGTACTCCGTTATATTCATATACAATGAACTTGTTCAACCATTCCTTAATTGATGGATAGCACCTCAATTTCCAATTCATTGCCACCAGAAAAAGAACTGCTATAAATATTTTTGTACAAATAAGTCCTTTTCCCTTTACTTGGATCTCTTTGGGATACAGGCCTAGTAATGGGATTGCTAAATCAAAGGGTATGCACAGTTTTATAGCCATTTGGGTGTAGTTCCAAATTGTTCTTCAGAATACTAGTTCACAACTCTACCAAAAGTACAATGATGTCCCTATTTTTTCACATCCCCTCCTGCATTTATCGTTTTCCTTTTCTGTCATGTTAGCTAATTTGATAGGTATGAGGTGGTACCTTAGAGTTGTTTTAATTTGCATTTCTCTGATCGATAGTGATTTAGAGCAATTTCCACATGATTATTGATAGCTTTGATTTCTGAAAACTGCCTGTTTATGTGCTTTGACCATTTGTCAAATGGAGAATGGCTCTTATTTTTTTTTTATAAATTTGTCTCAGTTCCCTGCATATTTGAGAAATGATGCCTTTATCAGAGAAATTTTCTGTAAATTTCCCCCCAGTGTTGTGCTTTCCTTCTAATTGTGACTGTATTAGTTTTGTTTGTGCAAATCCTTTTTAATTTCATGTAATCAAAATTATCCATTTTACTTCCCATGATCCTCTCTGTCTCCTCATAAACTCTTCCCTTATCCAAGATCTGACAGGTAAATTTTTTCCATGTTCCCCTAATTTACTTATGATATCACCCTTTATGTCTAAATCATTGATTTATTTTGGTATATGATGTGAGATGTTTGTCTCTGTCTAAAATCTGCCTAACTACTTTCCAGTTTTCTCAGCAATTTTTGTCAGATGGTGAGTTCTTGTCCCCAAAGCTTGGATTTTTGGGTTTGGAAGCACTAGACTACTATGGTTTTTACTAATTTTTAGAAACAGGTATTTGTTAAGGTGTTATAGTAGGAATAATTAGTACAAAGCATCCTTCCAAATGAGGAGAACACGCTCACATACATACTTAGAGAATCTAAGGGAAAAGTGAGTTTAGAGGCACATCTAGCAAAGACAGCATCAACACAGCTCCTAGAAGAACTTTATGGGGTCCTCACAAATTTCCCCTTAGCATGATGTGGTTTTTTGTTGGATTCGCTGTAGTGTTCTGAAGCTGCTTTTCTTTAGAATGTCTAATTTGCCCCTAGTTCCCAATGTATGTGCATATACATATGTATGTGTGTATATGTATATATGTATATATATATTAATGTATATACATACATATGTATGTATGTCAGTTATTTTTGTACCCCTGGTCCCTAATACAGTTATCACATATGTATGTGTGTGTGTATATACGTGTGTATATATTCAGTTGCATATACATATGTGTATATACACATATATGGCATGATATTAGATGTCAGAAGTACAAAGATAAAAAAAGATAAGTTTCTGCCCTCTTGTAGCTTACATTCTGTTGAGTGTAAGAATATGCCATGTACATAGATAAGTGTAATAAATG